AAGTCAATTTTGAAATTGTTTCTCACCTGTTAAAAGAACAAAAAAGATTTTCAAATTGTTTTTATCTGTGTTTGAACCTTGCACAGAAACCTAATCATCAGGCATTATATTTCAATTTTTTTTTTCTTCGTGTAGGAATTCTTCAGATGCCTTGCTATTTGCCATACGGTACTTCCTGAAGGTGATGAATCCCCAGAGAAGATCACATATCAGGCTGCATCACCAGATGAGGCTGCTTTGGTTATTGCTGCGAAGAACTTTGGTTTTTTCTTCTACAAGTTTGTAACTGCCATAATGTTTGTTATAGGTTTACTGTTTCTTGTGCTTCTGGAAAAATAATTATCGAGTCATAAGATGTGGTTAATTCAATTCAAATTTTTGTATGTAAACCTCTGCTACACACCTGTTAACAGCACTAAGTTTTTTTTCAGGCGTACCCCTACAATGATTTATGTTCGCGAATCTCATGTGGAGAAGATGGGCAAAATTCAGGATGTGCCTTATGAAATTCTGAATGTTCTTGAGTTCAACAGGTGGGCAGTCATCTTCTTACTCTCCAATATTTTATTATGGGTTAATGGTCAATATCACTAACTTCATTTGTAATATTCACTGCTCCTATAGTACACGAAAACGCCAGTCTGTTGTTTGTCGATATCCTGATGGCAGGCTCGTATTATACTGCAAGGTACTATATTTTCATTTTTTTTTTTTTTGGGCTTCTTGTATGGATAATAATTTCTGTGGAAGTGATAACTGGCCAGAACTTCTTTTTACAGGGTGCTGATACTGTTATTTATGAGAGATTGGCTGATAGAAATGGTGATTTAAAGAAAGTAAGCAGGACGCACTTGGAACAATTTGGATCTGCTGGTTTACGAACCCTTTGCCTAGCTTATAGAGATTTAAGTCCTGAAATTTATGAAAGCTGGAACGAGAAGTTTATCCAAGCTAAATCTTCTCTTAGAGATCGTGAGAAGAAGTTAGATGAGGTATAGCATGATATGTTTGTCATTTTGGTTCATCGTTCCTTCTTGTTTTGTTATGAGATGTTAACTATTTCATCTTTGTAAATTACATGGTTTTATGAAAGTGTTGAAGAATGCTCATTGAAGGATTTGAGTTAGACATTTATCATATAGCTCTTGCTTCCGTAGATGTGTGTCCTTTGGAAAAGGTTTCAAGTTCTGTTAATTAATGTTGTGGGAAGTGTTTCGATTATGTCATTTCAAACTGTTGTAAAAAATGCCAGTTAATGCTAGAACACTGAACAGGTTACTTTTATGTGCAAAGTATGTTCAGTTTTCATAGTTATAAAATAATTAAATTCTCTTCAGTTTTTATTAGGATCAATTTTAAGTCATCATCTCAGTAAAATTCGAAACTTATGCAGGTGGCAGAACTTATAGAAAAGGAACTTATTTTGATTGGGTGTACTGCTATAGAAGACAAGCTTCAAGAAGGAGTGCCAGCTTGTATTGAGACTCTTTCTAGAGCTGGAATCAAGATTTGGGTGCTAACAGGGGACAAGATGGAAACAGCAATAAATATAGCATATGGTGAGTCATTATTTAATTAACTTGGTACTCTCATCTATTTTTGTCTTGAGCGACGTGTTATATTTTTCATTTACATCTTCTGGAATCTTTTCTGTGACCATTATTTTCTGCAGCTTGCAACTTAGTTAACAATGAGATGAAACAATTTATCATTAGTTCAGAAACTGACGCAATAAGAGAAGTAGAAAACAGGGTAAGCAGCATGCTTTGTTTGTTAAATGCATTTATTTTAGAATTCACACAGTGCGTTCAACTTTTTAAAATTGTTAATTATCTTGCCAGGGTGACCAGGTGGAAATTGCACGCTTTATCAAGGAGGAAGTCAAAAGAGAACTAAAGAAGTGCCTAGAGGAAGCACAGCACTATTTGAGCACTGCATCTGGACCAAAATTGGCCCTTATTATAGATGGAAAGTGTTTGATGTATGCATTGGACCCAACTTTACGAGTGATGCTGCTGAACTTGAGCTTGAATTGTAATTCAGTTGTTTGCTGCCGGGTTTCTCCTTTGCAGAAAGCACAGGTAATATTATTCAAAGCACGAATGTGGGAAAAAGAAGTTAATCTGAGATCATAACTTAACAAGATAACAAAATGGTCATATTTACAGAGATAAAAAGAAGAATTCTTTTGTTTGCCTTTGTATATTTTTTGGTTAATTTGGAAGGGAAGAAGTTAAAGAGCTCTATTTAAAGTTGTATTCTTATGAAGGGACCTAAAATTGAGTAGAAGCACTGACCCCATCTATCGGCTGGACTGAATTGAGTTGAATCTTTTTAGAGAGAGATGGATAGTACTCTATTTTTGGTACAATGGGTGTTACTTTGTTGTTTGTGTTGTTTTACATTTGCAGAATCTTTGTGATGTATTTAGTCATTTATATTTATGACAAGGTTTACTCCCAGTTTCAATGTGTTGTACTGTGTCAGTGCAAGTCCTTTAATTGTTTGCGTTACTAGAAAAAGGTAACATCTTGAATTGCTGTGAGCAGGACATATAGTTGACCAAGGTTCAATCCCAATTTCAGTATTTATAAATTCTAAAGTCTTCTGTTGCAGACTGAATGCCATTCCTTGATCTATTTTTTTCTCCACTTTTAAGATTCAAGAAGAGCTAGATTTGGAAAGTCATCCATCAAAATCTAACTTTTGAACATTGAATTTATTTTGTAGGTAACTAGTCTGGTCAAGAAAGGTGCACAAAAAATAACACTTAGCATCGGGGATGGTGCCAATGATGTTAGCATGATCCAAGCTGCTCATATTGGTGTTGGAATAAGCGGATTAGAAGGAATGCAAGCAGTTATGGCTAGTGATTTTGCAATTGCCCAGTTTCGTTATCTTGCTGATTTACTTCTTGTGCATGGGCGTTGGTCATATCTTAGAATATGCAAGGTTTGAGTTTGAGTACCTTCGAATATATTGCAGCTGTTTATCTGTGGGTGATGGCATTCACGAGAGTTCTTTATTGCAGGTCATCACATATTTTTTTTACAAGAATCTTACATTTACTCTGACTCAATTTTGGTTCACCTTTCATACTGGCTTCTCTGGTCAAAGATTCTATGATGATTGGTTCCAGTCACTGTATAATGTTATATTTACGGCGCTGCCCGTGATCATTGTTGGGCTTTTTGACAAGGTGCTTTATCCCTTCCAACATGATCTATTTAGAATTTCTTGCAACAGATATGGATGATACCCAGTTCTTTCGGACATATTATCTAATATCCAATTTGCTGTTCTTTAGTTTGATTTGCTTATTTATGGACAAAAAGTGATAACCTTTTTTTTTTTGGCCAGGATGTCAGTGCATCCCTTTCAAAGAAGTACCCTGAACTGTACAAAGAAGGAATACGAAATGTCTTTTTCAAGTGGAGAGTTGTGGGAACATGGGCTTGCTTCTCTGTATACCAGTCTCTAATCTTCTATCACTTTGTAACAATTTCAAGTGCCGGTGGTAAAAATTCATCAGGGAGGATGTTTGGACTCTGGGATGTCAGCACAATGGCTTTCACTTGTGTTGTCATTACAGTTAACTTGCGTCTTCTAATGATCTGTAATTCAATTACAAGGTGGCATTACATTAGCGTTGGAGGAAGCATCTTAGCATGGTTTATTTTCATTTTTGTATATTCAATTTTCCGGGTAAATCCATTTCCACTCTATCAATATATCTTATATCTTCGTGTGTGGGGAACAAGCCTCAATTATCTTCCTGCTAATCTGTTTGTTTTTTACATTCACTGCAGGAGAATGTGTTTTTTGTCATATACGTGTTAATGAGCACATTCTATTTTTACCTCACACTTCTTCTAGTTCCCATTGTTGCACTTCTTGGAGACTTTATTTACCAAGGGTAAGGTTTCAGACGATCTATGTTTTTTATTACTTTTTTCTGCTGATTTTTGTTAGGCATAGATTAATTGTATGTCTGGACACAGGGTTCAAAGATGGTTCTTCCCCTATGATTATCAGATCGTTCAGGAAATTCACAGGCACGAACTTGACGACAATTCCAGGGCAGGATTGCTGGAGATAGAGAACCGGCTTACACCACAAGAGGAAAGGAGCTATGCCATATCTCAACTCCCTCGAGAGATATCTAAGCACACGGGCTTTGCTTTTGATTCGCCTGGGTACGAGTCATTTTTTGCGTCTCAGCTTGGTATATATGCTCCACAGAAGCCATGGGATGTCGCACGGAGAGCCAGTGTGAAGTCACGACCGAAGACATCCAAAAAGAATTAAACTGGACAAATATCATTGTACAAAGTGGTCAATCTTAGAAAAATTTGTAAATTTAGATGTGGCTAGTTCAGTTTTGTGATGCATTTTGCCATTAAATTTTTGTTTTACCTTTCAATATATTTTTCAGCAGGAATATTAGTGATCCTTAGGTTGTCACGGATGTATAGCTTATTGGTACAATTTAACTAAATTGAGAATTTTTTTGGTAGCCCCTTCATGTACTGCATATTTACGGAAGATTTTGCCAACAGATTGATGTATTTACCTTGAAAAGTAAAAATTAAATGAACCATTAATTTATCTTTGATAAATTCATTGTAACGAAAAGAAAATGCAAACGTTAATCAACCAAGCACCAATATTTACCACAGTGAACCACTAACAAGTAACTAGGGGTTAGTTGGACTTGAATCAAGTTCGAACTTAATAATATTAGTTTGAAAGTTTATCGAATTTTTATATATACTTTTATATAATATTTATTTTAAATTTACTGGAGTAAAAAATTTTTCGACTTGAACTCAACCCTAAAATCGAATTCGAGTGGAGTTTAAACCAAAAATTTTCAGGCTCACTAAACTTCAAGTCGAGCTAAATTCTATCAAGCAAAATTTAGAGCTTGACAGTTTCATTTACTTCCCTGCAAAGTAACAACAAATGCTAGTCACCTCCTAACTCTTAATCACCATAACTTACCATTTTTTTTGAATTTATTTTTCATATTTACTAATAAATTAACACATATACACACATACATGATTTTCATAATTGTACACATTCTTAGTCTTGTAAATTACTAAAACTTATTAATAGTTACTAAGTTTCATATTCAACAACATAAAATAAATCTACAAAAAATATTTCCTAAAAGCTAAAAAGTGTTTTTATAATTTCCAGAGATTGTTTTTTTCCTGGGCGAGTCTTTCTCTTCCAATATCAACTTGAGCAGGTTTGACCATCTTCTTCTTCAATTGAATTGAAGAATTTGGCTAGTTTTGCAGACAAAGATAGTTGGCTCTGATCCAGTGATTCTTCATTTCCATCATAGTCGTCATCATTTTCTGAAACCAAATAAATGCCACATTTCTTCAGTTGAACCCCTTCAATGATTTGTGACGCTGTTACCTCTAACTTATAACCATTTCTCAATCTAGAAACCAATGGATGATATTCTGGATACCGACAAATAAGGATATGATCTTCATCACTCCTTGGCACTCCAAGTAAGACCGGTGTGTTGTCACATATAGCTAATTCATTTAGATTATACAGCTTCGCTTTGATGGCTGGTAGAGCTGGGATTTCATCTCTCAAGTCGTCTGGTACCCGATGATCCAGAGAAACAACAGCATATATCATAACTGCTTTGATTTCACAGTTCTTTTGCTCTGTGTATGTAACTGTTTGTTGAGAAAACCAATCTGGAATTTTGCTTCCAGGTATGCTCAAATTTTCTAAATTCCTCAAACAAACCTGCAACAAAATAAATAAATAAAATAATCTATATATAAAACAATCATAACCTTCATAAAATGTAATGAAGGCGGCCATATGGACACACAGATAGAGAGGAAGGAGAGAACCTTAGATAGTCTTCTCTTCACTGATAAGGAGCATGCTCTACAATCACTCATGTATAACCTGGTCAAGGACTTCAGGTGTTCAAGGCCTGGAATCTCCAAAAGTTTCTCACAATTTGTGAGGTTCAAAAGCTTTAAGCTCTCCAAGTTTGAAATGTCAGACATACTTTCCAATGCAATACAGTTGGAAACATCCAACTCTTTTAAACTTGAAGGCAATGGAGGGAGACGCACGAGTTTTTTGCAGTGAGGCAAGTAGAGCAGCTTGAGAAGAGAAAGACCTTTCAAGCTACAAGGAAGGCTGGAAAAATCGTTGTATCCTAGATCCAACGTCTCTAACATTGACAACTTCTCAAAATCATCAGGAATTTCTCCAGATATTCTCCAAGCACGAGCATCCAGTTCTTCCAGCCGATAGAGATGTGGAAATGAAGTTGGGAGCAGAACGGGCTTCTCTTGAGTACTGAGAGATTTGACTGGTCTCTTTCTCATTTTCAAAACCATTAAGCTGCAAAGCATCCCGAAACTCTCCGGAAGTTCATTTACAGCAGTTTTCTCCATCAGCAAATGATGCAGAGACTTCAAGTTTCCTATTGAAGTAGGAAGTTTCTGCAGCTGTTTACACTCATTCAGATTAAGCATTACCAGATTTTCCAACATCCCAATAGATTCTGGTAACTCAATAATATTAGCACCAAATAATTGTAAATCAGTAAGACCCAACATCTTCCCAATTGCTTCTGGTAAATTTCTAATCAGTGTACAATTCCGCAAGGAAAGTTTCTCAATCAATTTCAAAGCTCCAATCTGCTCCGGCAGAGTAGTAATAGAAGTCCTATCTAACTCAAGTTCACTAATGGAAGATAGTCCTTCAATCGAATCAGGCAATTTGCACAAAGAACTACACCCTCCAGCTGATAACTGCTTCAGGTAAGACAATGAACTGATTGAATTTGGTAGTTCTTTGATTGAACTATTATTAATATAAATTGCTGACAAGGACTGGAGCTGGCCTACAGAATCAGGAATTGTGGCAAGTAATGTACACCACCTCAAACTTAGTTCCTCAAGGTTTGACAAAGATCCTATAGAATCAGGCACTTCTTCCAATGCAGTTTCATCGAGGGAGAGTTCTTTCAAAGAATTCAGTTTGCCCAAGGTACTTGGCAGCCGTTTGATGAATCGGCATCCGTTCAGACTAAGCTTCTCAAGTTTTGTAAGGCGGTACATAGATTCAGGCAGTTTTGATATAGCAGTTCGATCAACAAGAAGTTCTTTCAGGGATTTCATGCTACCTATGTCATCTGGCAATGCTGTCAATTTTGAGCAGCCAGAGAGAATAAAGCTTTGAAGACATTTTAGTCCAGAAACTTCACTCGGAAATTCAACAAGGTTTAAGCATTCTTTCAAGTTCAAGTGAAGCAATGTCCTCAGATTCCCCAGTGACTTGTGAATTTTAGTCAGTCGAATGCAACGCTCAAGATTAATCTTTTCCAAGGATTTATGCCCATATAAATCAGGAATAGCCACTAAATTATAGCAATGATGAAGATTTAAGACCATCAACTTCTCGGCCACCTGTAACACAAGAAGTTTTCTGCATTTAGAAAAGAAGTGACTTTTTTTTTTCTGTTTTCTTCGGAATACTTCTAAGGACAAATTATAAGAACAACCTCTTCAAATAACATAGAACAACACAAAAAGTATTCCCCATGGAAAAAATTCAGAGCATGTTTAGTAGGATGTAGTTAAACGTAAAAGAATAATGTAAGTAATGTTACTTAAGGCTTATACCTTACTGCTGCCCCAACTCCAAATTCGTTCAATTCCACTTTCTGAGAGATCAAGGACAGAAAGCTGTGAAGGGTCATAGTCATAAGGAAGATTTTTCAAAGGGCATTCCTTCCACTGTAGCCACCTAAGCCCTGCAGGCAAAAATTTGAACTTCCCATCTAATTTCACACGATTAACATGTAGCAGTCTTAGATTAACCATTGATTCAAAGGATTTAGTGCTAACTATCGCCTCTTTCTCTTTCTCTATGCCTTCTGGAAGACATAGAAGACGTGTCCATTTCCGTTTCATGTATGCAATTGCAGAGGTGAGATTTGGTGCGGTTAGGAAGTAATTACAAAAAACAGTATCAGTACTTGAATCCTCCCTAAACATCTTCTTTCCAAAGTCAAGGATGATCCCTTTTACATTTTCTGTTCCCTGTTTTCCATCAGATAAGGGGAAATGTTTAAAGCTAATAGTAAACTGATTAAAAGGTAAACAAAGAATCAGCGACATAAAAGAAACTTGAAAAGGACTTTGAGATAAAATTTTCCAGGCAAAACTACAAGAAATTATCAAGGTCTTCAAGTTATAGGAGGTTTTGGCAAGATTATTAGGGTATAGGAAGAACACAAAATAATAATATTAATTCTCCGCTAATGATTTTCACCTTCTTATCTTTCAGAACTGTCATGATTTCTTCATAATCCCACAATCTACTACGCATACCAGGATTAACAAGGTTTTCACGTAGAACAATTTCTCTTCCCATGTCTCTAAGTTGATCATGCATCCACAGAGTACCATCTTCTCTGATCTTAATGAGAGATTTTGCTTCCAAAACAGTAACTGCTGTCTCAGCCCTAAAGCCGCAACCCGTCAATATATCAATTGCTTCCTCTTTTCCCATTCCTATTTTAACAAATAAACATGCAATATCAAGGAATATGTGCCTCTCTTCTTGATCTAGTCCATCAAAACTTATTCTCAAGACATCTTGAAGATCATGTGGTCGAATCTGTTGTAACCTTTTCAGGGCATCTTCCCATTGCTTCATCGTCCTCTTATGAAACAGGAAAGAACCAAACACCTCCAATGCTAAAGGTAGGTTTCCTGTAAGAGATACAATTTGCTTGGCTATCTTCAGGTAACCCTCAGTTGGATTCTCTCTTCTCATTGCATGGTAACTAAAAAGTTGCAAAGCTTCAGAGGAAAACAACTCTCTGACCTCATACCGCTCATTCACAATATGATCAACCAAAACATCTTCATTTCTTGTGGTAATAATTATTATACCTCCTTCACCAAACCAATCTCTTTTTCCTGCCAGTACATTGAGTTGGCTCACATCATTCACATCGTCCAAGACAGCTAGGACACGCTGCTCAGCAAGCATGCGTTTGATCTTGATGACCCCATCAACCACCTCATTCACTGGTGGCACCTTATTGGCTGAAAGATCATGAAGAAATTTATTCTGAAGTGATGTCAAACCACCATCTCCTTCAGCAATTTCTCTAACACTCGAAATGAAACAACGATATTTGAAGTGTTTGATAAGTTTATTGTAGAGGGCCTTGGCAAGAGTTGTTTTACCGATCCCACCCATTCCATGAAGTCCCAGAACTTGAATCTGATTAGATTTAACATTTAACAAATCCATTAGTTTTTCTACACGAGACTCAAGTCCAACTGTATACGTAGATAGACCTACTGTCCTTCCCAATTCTGTCAAAATCCTTTTCACTAATCGTTGAATCAACCCCTGTTCTTGGCTGTCAGCAAGCAGAACAATGAAAATATTAGGATAGGATACATAGGCCACAGATAATTGAAAACAGGAATCGTGGAAGTCCAAGAATGAACATTTTATTTTTTAAATAGATTTTTTTTTATAATGAACATATTAGGATATATCTGACACAGATACACGGAAAAAGTTAGAGAGAGAGAGAGAGAGAGATAGAGACAAATCTCAACTCAAGATAGCACATGATAAACATAGAAAGGACAAACACATGGGATTTTCACTTCAATTAAAATTCTCCAAGCGTGATTGTGTATAACTGCAGTTTGTTCCATACCACCAAATTCAAGAAGCTCTTATTAAATTTTAAAAGGAAAAGGACATATTTCAACGTCTTGGCCAACTTTCTCAAATCAAGAGGTAAGAGATTCGACCAGCATCTTATATATTTTATGCCCTGCACTAAAATAAACAAAATCTCTTCAATATTTAACTAATAGACCATACCAAACACATTTTATACTCTCCAAGAGGACAGAAGAACCAATTTTCAATATTTAACTTTTGATTCATGGTTAAAGATAACAACTTTATACACACACATATATACACACACATAATCACCTGCCACTGAAAACAAAACCAGAAAGGCCACCAACTTTCGCCATAGCTTTTCTCCATTCGACAACCTCATCCTGTCCAAATCTTTCTACGTGAGCCCTAAAATCATCTTCAAAAGGACCCTTTTGTCTTCTAACATCAGATGGGTCGACTTGGTAGAAAACTGGAAGTACAAGCCTCCGTAGCTGGCATATTCTAGATAGTTCCTTAAGACACCAATGGGAATCAGCATACCGTCGAGAAACCATGATAATTGAAGCAGCTGAGTCTTCAATGGCTTCCATCAGAGTAGGAGCTATCTCGTCTCCTTGACTCATTCCGACGTCGTCTTTGAAAACCCTAACGCCGTGACTGTGTAAAGAGTTAAAGAGGTTCTCGATGATGCCATGACGCGTGTCCTCGCCGCGAAAACTTAAGAACACGTCATAGTTGAGTCTCAGTGCTGCCGGAGGCGGGACAACGTTGTCGTCGGACATTCTTTATAATTATAGCGACTGTTGTTAAAGTTTTGTTCTTGTGGGATGGATTTTATGGGAAGGTAGCTTTGGTCATTATCATTTCTTTGCAAAATGATTACGTGCCACTCAGGTTTTCATCCGTCATTTGTCCCACCATGTCACTTTACTTTCTTGTATAAGTTGCATGTTTTTTTATACTTTTCTTCAACAAATAACGACAGTAATACTAATACTAGGTTTTAAGTTATCTTAAGTTTTAAGTTAGAAGGTGGATGATTCTTATTCAACAGGTAGATGAACATACAGCTACCAGACTGAGGGGTCATTTGTTTGGGCTGAAATGATAGATGGAGTTTGGGGTTAGAGAAGAGAAATGTGTTAGCTTTCTGTCGATAAGTAGTCGCAACAGAGAAAAATATCCTTTCAAAGGAAAAAAAATTCTGTCATTTAGATTGGTGGAGAATTTCTCCAATGACAGAAAATTTTTCGGCGTTAACAAGGAGAAAATTCTACATGTTGTGCTTAAACAACCTCAGTATATGTACATGTTTGTTTTTCTTTTCTTCAATATTATAACCTCTTTCCTTTCAACTGGAGCAGATGGGATAATCATCTTCTTCCATTGAATTAAAGAACTTCGCAAGTTTTTCTGATACAGATTTTTGGCTTTCATCCAGTGATTCTTCATCTCCATCCCAATCATCATCATTTTCGTAAACCGGAAAAACACCACATTTTTTCATCTCAACTCCTTTAATGATTGGTGGATTTTGCTCTCCTACTTCCAGCTTGTAACCACTTTTCCAACCAGAAATCAACCGATGACAATGTGAAAACCGACAAAAGTGGATTTGATCTTCATTAGTCTTTGGCACTCCTAATAAGGGCAATGTATAGTTTGCTATAGGTTTATTGAGTTTAAGTACCCTTGCTTGAATGGCTGGTAGCACTGGAAGTTCATCTCTTAACTCATCTGGTATCTCATGGTTAAGTGATAAAACGGCGCATGCGATCACAGCTCTGATCTCACGGTTCTTGAACTCTGAAAGGCTCACAGCCTTTTGACAAAACCAATCCGGAATCTTGCTTCCAGGTATGCTTATGTTATATATGTTCCTCAGACAAACCTGCATTAATTAACAACAGAAAAGAGTAGGATCCAGCTTCGATAATCTCAATAGGGTTAATTACAGGGAAAAAGAAAAGAAAGCCCTTAAGGTTTGCACTAATATACACTTTGGTCTTTGCTATTTGAAAATTAGCAGCAATTTTAGTCTCTCAACTTTGTTTTGACACAATACTTTGATTCTTGATTTTAAAATTATGAATTGTTCAGCGGTTTAGGTGCTGGTTATTTTAGATTAAGTTTTTTGTTTTTCGTTTTTCGTTTTTTTTCTTAAAAAATAAACAAAATTTGAAAACTGTTTTTTTAAATAAAAAACAAATTTTATGAAACCACAAATAATGGTTTCTGTAAACGTGCTTTCTATTTTCTGTTTTCAAAGTAATTTATGTTTTTATTCTACATTCCACTTTTTTTTTTCTTTTTCATTTTTATAAGCCTTGTCCTCATAAAGTTGTCTTATTATTATTATTATTATTATTATTATTATTATTATTCTCTATCCATATAAATCTAATGTCATTTATTTATCCAAAATATATAAACATTAGTTTTATTATCTCTATTGAAATTCTACCCTTTATTTTTTCATCTCCTCTCTATTTAGTATTATTTTTATACTCCCACAGTCCCATTTTGTTTGCTTGTTATTCATTTTTTAGATGTACCAAAATGTTTACAAGGTTTCGAAATTTAGATATGTAAATAATTATTTTTTCCATAATTATCTTTATGATTGTTCATTAAACGAAGAATTTTATTAATATATTAATAAATTAAGGGTAAAAAAAGGGCAAAATAACTTTTATTGACTAAATTCTTAATATGCGTGTTTTGTCAAACCATGCAAATAAAATGGGACGGAGAGAGTATTTATTATTATCTTCTCTATCCATATAAATCTAATGTCATTTAATATTATTTATTTATTATAATACTTGGATATTATATTTTTATTCAAAACAACGCGAACAAACTATGGTTTTCTGTAAAAACGTGCTTTCTGATTTTGGATCTGTTTTTCAAAAGTAATTTGATGGTATTTTAATTCTACATTGCAACTTTTTTTTTTTATCTTTTTCATTGTTTATAAGCCTTGTCCTCTACTAAACGTAGTTGTTCTTATTAATCGTGCTATTATTAATTATTAGTTTATTATGCTATTATTATTCGCTCTATCCATATAAGATCAGTATGGTCATTTATTTTATTCCAAAATATATAGAACAGTTTAAAGTTTTTAATCTCTATTCTAAGATTCTACCCTTATTTTTTTCATCTCCCTCTCTATTTAGTATGTATTTATTATGACTCCCACAGTCCCATATTTGTTTGCTGTTAATTCCATGGTTTTTTTGAGAGATGTAAGCCAAAAGTTTACAAGGTTTCCGAAATTTAAGATATGTAAATAATATTTTTTTCCATAATTATCGTTTTATGATTGTTCATTAAACACGAAGAATTTTATTAATAATAATGGAAGATTAAGGGTAAAAAATAAAAGGAGAGCAAAAATTATTTTATTGTACTAAATCTTATACTGCGGTTTGTCAAACCAATGTCAAGTAAACATAGGGACGCGAGAGGGTATTGTATTATTATCTTCTCATATTCCATAGTAAATTTCTAAATGTACAATCTTTAAATAGTTTATTTATTTATTATATGAATACCATCTGGATAGTCTATAATTTTTATATCCGAATTTGAGTGTATACATTAAAAATCATGCAATACGTTAATTTCACTATTGAATATTAAAAAAAATTAAACAATGTGAGCAATATTCTTTTATTAGGAGTTTTGTTCTTAGATTGTTATAGATTGTGTTTATAATTGTTCTTTTATTGTGTGTGAACGAAAAATATTTAATTGGTTTTAGATCAGGGAGAGATTTATGAAAATAGAAGAAAATTTTTCACATCATGAACTAATAAAGGTAAGGTAAAAAAATAATGTTTAGGGAAAAAAAAAAGCACAGTATTTGAGGAAAATAAGTTAAACTTGCAAAAATTGAAAATAAGCTTATGTTCTAATCAAAACTAAAAATTAAAAAATAACAACTGTAAATAAACGAGGGACCCATTCAGTTCTTATAACGTTGTCTGAAGATTTGAATGTCCAACTTGTCCGAAAATTTGTAGAAAAATAAAGTTATTTAAAAATTAATGTTTTCACTCATTATGTCTCTAAATTACAAAATTTATAATACATTTTAGCCCGTCAATTTCTTGTATTTTTTTCAGTGCTTGTAATACAAGGATATTGCTAAGTTTTTTGGAAACATGCAAACAGGAGTAATTTGTAGGAGGAAGAAAGGGGGGAAGAAACTTAGATAATATTCTCTTACTGCTGAAGAGCAAGATCTCACAACCACTGCATATATAACCTTTTCAGGGACCTGCTTCAAAGCGAGGTTCAAGGGCCTGGAATATTCCACAACTGTTTTGCCACATTTGTAAGTGGTTTGAGCAACTCTAGATTAACCCTCTCCCAAGATTTGAGGACGCATAATGTCTTTTCCAAGGGAAGTGCAGTTGGCATGATAATCCCAGTTCTTTTCTAAAACTTGGAGGGAAGTGGCAGGGAAAGAGACCACAAGCTTCTTCACAAAACAAAGGGCCCATGTATAATAGGCTTTTTTTGGAGAAAGAGAGAAAGAGCCTTCAGAAGCTAGGTCGGGAGCTGCTAAATATTCGTTGTGCCGCCAGTTGACATGCTCTAAAATTGATTAACACTTCTCAAGACTGTCAGGAATACCAAAGATATTTCTCAGGCATGAGCATCCAGTTCTTTCTAGCATAGGATATGATTCTTGAGAAGGGGAAGTTGTCGAACAGGAAAACCATACTTTTTCTTGGTTACCAAAGATTATTTGAGTGGTTTTTCTTTCCGCATCACTTAGTACAGTTAAGCGTGGAGAGGCATTTCCCAAACTTTTTCAGGTAGTTCTGGTCTCACAGCAAGTTTTCTGCATGAACAAAATACGCAAGACTTTAATGTTTCCTATTGAAGCGCAGGCAAGTTTCTGGAGCTCTTTACCACTCATTAATTTCAACCTTATATAGATTCTCCAACATCCCAAAAGGATTCAGGCAACTCAACTATATTAGCACAAGACAAGTTTAAAGCCAGTAAAGGACTCAACATGTTCCCAATTGCTTCTGGTAATACTAAGAAGACATACAAACTTTCGTCATGGAAAGGTTTTCTCAAATCATGTTTTCAAAGTACCAATCTGATGTGGAGCAGACCCCGGTTAGTTGGATGTACGCTGATCTAACTGAAGTTACGCTTAATCAGAAGCTAGCTCCTCTCAATTGAATTCAGGCAAGTTTGGCTCAGGTGAGAACTACACCCTCCAGCTGGATATAAGGACTTTGCAAATAAACAGCGGAACCAATTGAAGTAAGTAAAATTCTTTTGAATTCCCACATTGTCAATGTGTAGGAGTTTTGTTAGTAGACGGAGATTGCCTCAACTAGACTCAGAGAATTCTGGTAAGTGGTGATTTAACACCACATCAACTTAGTTTGCTCGAAGCATATCAAACAGAAGAGATCTGATATTGGAATCTGGTAGTTCTTCAATGCAGATTGATTGAGCAGAGGAGGTTGCTTTCAAAGAGGATATTCTACGTTGCGCTAAAGATTTTGAGGCAAAACTGTTTTAATAACACCATGATCAAACCATTCAGATTAAAGCGTCTCAATGTTTTGTAAGCTGATAAATGATTCAGGAAAGCTTTGATATAGCAGTCTCCATTTTCAGCTAGAGAAGCTGTTTTAAATAGGAGTTCCATTGCTCATAGTGACCTATGTTCATATGGCAAATTCTTTCAATTTTGCACAGTCAGAGAGAATGAGGGTCTCAGTTGCTCTTCAAGAGACCAAAAGAAATCACTTGAAATTCAACAATATTGTGAGCATCCTCTCAAATTTCAAGTGAAAGCAATGTCTTCAAGCTTCCCCACTGATTTGGTCCAATCTTAGTCAACTGAACCGCAATGGGCTCAGA